GAACATTATTCTGAACATATTTTATTCAGTATTGCTTTTCAAAATATTTCCCACTTCTGAGATATAGAGTACCAAAGATTTGGCATTCTGGCCCCTTATGGCCCCTAATTATGTAATACATGACATAAATATTATAAAAATATAGTTGTAAATTGTTAAGATAAACATTTTTGCTTCAGTAATGTATACCAAAATATTGATCGTTAAAGAGTTATTGATTTAATACTTTTGGCCCCTCTCGGCCCCTAATATGATGAGTCAGCCCTTTTTTCTTGATAACATATTAAAGATTTTGTCATTCTGCACAAATATTGTTTAGTATGTTTTAACAAATAATTATACTTTAAAAGATATGATACAAAGTGTCTCAAAAATTCACTCATGATTTGTGTCCTAAATTTTGACCCCTACCGAGCTTCCATACTAGGCACTTCCGGAAAATATCCAAATATGCAATATGGCAACATGTCCTCTATCATCACTGAAAATTTCAGCGCTCTAGCTTAAGCCGCAGACAAGGAGGTCCTTTGAATTTTGATAAAAGGGCGATAACTTCCGACCGGAAGTAAATATCTCTTAACGGAATTGCTGGAATTAACTTCAGATGTCAACGCATCCACCGTAAAAATTTGAATGAAATTGAACAAGCCATCTCCGAGAAATCGTCTGCACAAAATTTGTAAGAAAAAAAAAAAACTAGATGAGATCTCGTTGCGAGCAACGAGTAGGTCTTCCGTCCGATTTTCCGATGAGATAAAATTTTGACTATGATCTTTGTTAAAAGATAATAATATATAGACTTCCCTAATCAGATTTCATTCGTTTGATTTATATAACATTGTCAAAGAGCTATAGATGACATGCTTTTGGCCCCTCTGAACCCCTAGTTTGAGGGGTCAGCCCCTTTTTCTTGATATCAATTGAAAGGTCTTGTGATTTTGAAAATGTTTTCAAGATATATTCAGAGATTTCCTTTTGTTGTGGTGATATGCTGAATGGAAATATTTAGGGGCCACCCCTCCATGTCCTTAATGGGGCCGTTTGACAAAAATTGAAAGGGTGCATATTGTTGAGAACATTATTCTGACCATCTTTTGTTCAGTATTGCTTATCAAAATATTCCCCCTTTTCGAGATATAAAGTGTCAGAGATTTAGCATTCTGGCCCCTGATGACCCCTTATTAGGTAACATATGATCAGAATCTTATAATATATTGTTGTAAATCGTTAAGATAAACATCTCTGCTTCAGTAATGTATTACAAATTATTGATCGTTAAAGAGTTATAGATGAAAGACTTTTGGCCTCTCTCAGCCCCTAATTTGAGGGGTCAGTCCCTTTTTCTTGATATCAAATGAAAGGTCTTGTGATTTTGAAGACTTTTTGTTCAACAACTATTCAGAGATTTCTTTTCGTTGTGGAGATATGCTAAATGGATATATTTAGGGGCCACACTTTCAAGTCCTTAATGGGGCAGTTTGACAAAAATTGAAAGGGTGCATATTGTTTAGAGCATTTTTCTGACCATCTTTTGTTCAGTACTGCTTATCAAAATATTCCCCCTTTTCGAGATATAAAGCGTCAAAGATTTATCATTCTGGCCCCTTGTGACCCCTTATTACGTAACATATGATCAGAATCTTATCATATATTGTTGTAAATCGTTAAGACAAACATCTTTGCTTCAGTAATGTATTACAAATTATTGATCGTTAAAGAGTTAAAGATGAAAGACTTTTGGCCCCTCTCAGCCCCTAATTTGAAGAGTCAGTCCCCCTTTTTCTTGATATCAAATGAAAGGTCTTGTGATCTTGAAGACTTTTTGTTCAACAACTATTCAGAGATTTCTTTTCGTTGTGGAGATACGCTTATTGCAAATATTTAGGGGCCACCCCTTCAAGTCCTTAATGGGGCCGTTTGACAAAAACTGAAAGGGTGCATATTGTTTAGAACATTATTCTGACCATCTTTTGTTCAGTATTGCTTATCAAAATATTCCCCCTTTTCGAGATAAAAAGCGCCAAAGATTTATCATTCTGGCCCCTTGTGACCCTTATTAGGTAACATATGATCAGAATCTTATCATATATTGTTGTAAATCATTAAGATAAACATCTTTGCTACAGTAATGCATTACAAATTATTGATCGTTAAAGAGTTAAAGATGAAAGACTTTTGGCCCCTCTCAGCCCCTAATTTGAGGAGTCAGCCCCTTTTTCTTGATATCAAATGAAAGATCGTATCATTCTGCACAATTTTTCTTCTATATGTTTTAACAAATTCTTAACATGTATGAAGATATGAGAGAAAAGGTGTATAATTTTGTGAGATGTTTCTGTGACATTTTTTGAGCCCTACCGAGCTTCGGCGCCTTTTGCGCTAGAGAGATTTGGACACCTGCCTGCAAATCTACAAACCTTCCCCTACCTTCACTTAAAATCTTGACTCAATATCTTAACATGCATTCTCTGTAAGCACCAACAAATTTACTATAGGGCTTGGAAATGACATGTCTCGGATTTTGATGAAATTTGCACCACAGGTGTGTCTTGGTACAAAACTAGCAAATATGGTGTCGGAAGTTCCACACGTGCACACGGTTGCCATGGAGACGGATCCATTGAATTTGGCCATTTTTGACCCTTTTGACCAAGCGAAAACATGAAAATTGAGGATATGTAAACGAATTTTTTTCGGTATCTAATACACTGTAACAAAAATCATTGGATCATATGATAACATGAACTTTTAAGGTACACAGGCCGTATAGTCATTTATTCTAAAAAGATTCCCATTCTAGGAAAAAGGTCATGCAAACTGACATGGTTTCTGAAAATTTGAAAAATGGGAAAATTAGTATTTTTCAAGATCTTTAAGGCTATATAAGAAAAATTGTCCGTGGAAAATTTCAAAAACATATGTGTATTTTTATACTTGACAACTAGTAGTGTCATCTCATGAAAAAAATCGGTGGGCTTTTAATCCTATTTTTAGTAACATGTATCTATAAATAGATAGATTTTAGAAAAATGTAAAAACTCAAATTTTGGCAAAGTTTTAGATGTCATTGCTGGATAAATAGGACGTATATTGTAAAATTTAAGATATTAATGACAGCAGCTGGACACCCCTAGCTAGAGTGGACAATGGTTGAGGGGTATTCCCATTTTTATTTATAGTATCAAGCACCTAAATATAGATATGTCTCTGAATATTAGGAAAAATGACAGTTTTATGCTAATTGGAAGCTTTATAGAAAAAGTATTAACAAATATAAAGCTCTCTACAATATGCCTTCATAAAGAACAAGTGTTTGTACAATAAATGATACAATATTGAGGGTGGACTCTTGTTTCCTGTTATAGCAACAATGGTCTAAAAATAGATTCCTCGAATAATCGAGAAAATGTAGATCCTTGCACTTTCTCGGGGTAATGTCGGATGGAAAAAATGCAGACTAATTGTTATAAACATATTATAACTGACATGTACTGGAAACCATTTACTGAAATACACACTATCTGAAGGGGGTTCCCTTTTCTATTTATAGCACCAGACACCCATAAATAGAAACATCTCAGCATATGAGGAAAATGACAATTTTCCACCAGTTGTAAGCTTCATTGAAAAAGTATTTACAAAAGATACTGCTGTATACAAGATTTCATGAACAAGAACATTTGAGCAATTAATAATTGACACAATATTGAAGATGGACTCTTTTCTTTTTAAAGTAACAGTTGTCTAAAAATAGATGCAGTGAGCTATTTAGAAAATATACATTGCAATATTTTAGAGACATTATGGATTAAAAATTTTAATACTCTCTATTATAAACATAATGTGACTGACAAGTACTAGAAACCAATGACTGAAATGCAAAATGTTTCAAGGATTGCTATCTACAATATTTTAACAACAGGAACTGACAAGTACTAGTGACCATTCACTGTTATGCCCTGTATTTAAAGGGGGGTTCCTATTTCTATTTATAGAATCAAACACCTTCAAATTTACATATCTCAATATATGAGAATAAATAACAATTTCCCAGTAAGAACCTTCACAGAAAAAAATATTAACAAAATAAACTGCTCTCTACAATATGTCATTAACAAGAACAGATAGTCAATTAATATTTTAAAACTATTTATTTTGACACTGTTTTAGGGGTGAACTCTCTTTTTTATAATAGCAAAAATTGTCAAAAAATAGCAAAATGTTGTGAGTTATTCAGAATATATAAATTATTGCATTATTTCACACATAACAGATGAAAACTTTGCATCCTAACAGTTACTGTTATAACCATTATGTGATTGTCAAGCACTAGTGACAATTTACTGAAATGTACACTATTTGAATGTGGTTTCTTTTTCTATTTATAGCACCAAACACCTAAAAAAAATTCTGTCTTAGCATATGAGAAAAAATGACAAAGTTCCACCAATAATAACCTTCATCTTAGAAGATATTTACAAAATAATACAACTGTATATATACAATCTGTCATGAACAAGAACATTTTTTATTTTCATTTGTTTTTATGGCAACAATTTTCTGAAATTAGAAACCCTGAATTATCAAGAAGATGTAGATTCTTGCACTATTTCAGACATTAATTAGGATAATTTTCCACCAATCAGAAACTTCAAAGAGAACGTGTTTACAAATAAACTGATCTTTACAATCTGTTAACATCAAGAACATGTGGTAAGACAACACTTTGTATATTATTGAAGCTATGTTCTCAATTCTTTTTATAGCTATATTTGTCTGAAAAGAGATGCTGTGAATTACAGAAAAAATGTAGATTCTTGCACTATATCAGATATTGTTAAGGGCAAAGAAGAAGGTACAGTTTAAATACAAATTTAGCCATGTATTTTTAGCTCACCTCGACGAAGTCGAGATGAGCTTATGCTATACTCCCGGCGTCGGCGTTAGTGTCGGCGTCCCGGTTAAAGTTTTAGGAGTAAGTCCCATTCCTAAGTAACTATAAGCCCAACCAGGACCAAACTTGCATGGATGATGCATCTAGAGATGGACACTACCACACTTGCTTCGGATGCTGGATCTGACCTAGATTTTCCAGATGAGTGACCAGGTTAAAGTTTTTGGAGCAGGTCCGTTCCCAAGGAATTATAAGCCCAACCTGGACCAAACTTGCATGGATGATGCATCTAGGGATGGACACTACCACATTTGCTTCGGATGCTGGATCTGACCTATATTTTCCAGATGAGTGACCAGGTTAAAGTTTTTGGAGCAGGCCCATTCCCAAGGAACTGTAAGCCCTACCTGGACCAAACTTGCATGGATGATGCATCTAGGGATGGACACTACCACACTTGCTTCGGATGCTGGATCTGACCTATATTTTCCAGATGAGTGACCTGGTTAAAGTTTTTGGAGCAGGTCCATTCCCAAGTAAGTATTGGCCCTACCTGTACCAAACTTGCAAGGATGATGCATCTAGGGATGGACACTACCACACTTGCTTCGGATGCTGGATCTGACCTAGATTTTCCAGATGAGTGACCAGGTTAAAGTTTTTGAAGCAGGTCCATTCCCAAGGAACTGTAAGCCCTACCTGGACCAAACTTGCACGGATGATGTATCTAGGGATGTACGCTAACTAACCTGCTTCGGATTCTGGATCTGACCTAGATTTTCCACATGAGTGAATTTTAGCCATATTTTAACCAAATTAGCATGGATGATGATGTATCTAGAGATAGACACTTCCAGACTTGCTTTGGATTCTGAATCTAATATTGATGGATATTAGTCTTGGGATGTACACTAACTAGGAAAAAAATATGATGTAAGATTTGCCTTACTTATAGATAACATTCGTCGAGGTGAGCTTAGTAATCTTTGATTACCTATGTTTTTTAATATGAAATTGTGGTCAGAAACTAATGCTTTCTCAACCCTTTAAATTCTCATGCAGAGAGATCATGCAGTTTTTAGGTGAACTGGTCAGAGACCAGAAGAGCTTATGCGATAGTAAGGTGTCCGTCGTCTGTCCATATGTCTGTCCGTCTATCAGTCAACAATTTTTCAAAATGCTACTACTCTTACAGTTTTGGTCTGATTTCAATATAACTTGGCACACAAGTGGACTACTTTAAGATATATAATTCTATTTATCAGTTTTTGATTTCGATGAACGGTGTTGCCATGGTTACTAAAAATAGAAATTTCTTTGAAACACTTTCAAAACGCTGCTCCTCCTACTGTTTTGGTTTGATTTCAATATAACCTAGCACACAAGTAAATTACACTAAGATATATACAATTCTATTAATTGGTTTTTGATTTCGATGAACAGTGCTGCCATGTTTAATAAAAATAAAAATTTCTGTTAAATACTTTCAAAATGCTACCCCTCCTACAGTTTTGGTCTGATTTTCTTATAACATGCAAGTAGACTACACATAGTACAAATTGTCTTTATCCTTTTTTGATTTTGATGTTGCTATGTTTACTAAACATAAAAAATTCTGTATATTTTTCTAAAGGCTACTCCTCCTACAGATTTATAGTCTGATTGCGATAATTCTTGCCACAAAAAGAGACTAAACCAAGGATCATTATTCTACAGAATGCTATTCCAATGTTTCATGTCAAGGTGCTTCTTGCCTCTTCCTTTGTTATAAGTATATACCGGGAGAACTACATGTACAGTGTAGAAGTTGAAAATGTGAAAAGGTTACAGACGGACGGGCAAACAGCTAAACAGACAGACGGACAAACGGACGGACGACAGACAAAAGAAGAACCACTGGGCAGATAATCACCAAACTTTAATTATATGCTAACATGGATGAAAATATATTGTAGATTAAAAATAAATTGTTTAAGGTATCACCCTGGGGCATCATTATATTGCCCAATATAATGACTGGAATTACGATTTTTTTTTTCAATTCATGCATCTTAGGACCTCATGTCAAGTTGACTCAAAAGTAGATCATGATGACCTTTTTTTTTAATTTTGCAGGTATTCATCTTTCAATTGATTTTGATGCATATCTCGGACACTTTGAAGCCTATAATCATCAAAACCTACCGGTCGATGTATCATGTGGCTTTAAAATGTGTCAACGAAAGAGTAGAAAATTAAGTCACCGTGACCTACTTTCTGACTTTTATGGTAATCATTTTCAAAAAAAAATTACTGTCATTATTTTAGATACTGAGAGGTTTAGACTCATTAAACCTTGTAAGTTGATGCATTTGAATTTTGCTGGTATTTATTTTCAAATCATTTTAGAGGCATATTTTGGACACCGTGAAACTTAAAATCATCAAACATTGTCAGTTGTTGCATCTCGGGTCCTCGGAATGTATCAACTAAAAGGTAGATCACCGTGACCTACTTTTAGAATTTAAATATTTCAGAACCAGTTCGCTTAGTTTCATCAAACTTTGTCAGGTTATGCATTTTTAGTCCTCAGGATGAGTCAAACAAAAGTAGGTCACTTGTAGTTTTAAGGGAATATCTTAATATTTGAAATAGTAAAAGGCTAATAATCATCAATTTTCTAATTTTATGCATTTGGGATCACGGACTATGTTAACCTAAAAGTAGGTCACAGTGAATTAATTTTGGAATTTCACAGCTAAATCTAAATATTTCTGATAATAAGAGGCTTAGACTCATCAAACTTTGTCAGTTAAAGCATCTTGGGTCCTCAAAATGTGTGCAAAAAATGGGTCACAGTGACCCAGATTTGAATTTTTAAGGTTGCTATCTAAAAGTAGGTCACAGAGCTACTTTTGGGATTTCAAGGCTTACCTAAATATATAAGATGCTTAGAAGCTTAGAATAGAAGTGATATGGTTGTAAAATTTATCAGGAGAGCGATTCTGGCCCTTGGGTCTCTTGTTAAATTGCCGTTTCATTGATCCGTTACAGGGTTATTCTCAGATGACTGTTAAAGCCCTCTGGTCTCTTGTATTATTTTGTTGCTATAAATAGAAATGGAAATCCTCATTGATTTTGTGTATTTCAATTATAAATAGAACTGAAAATCCTCATTGTTTTTGTGTTTGTCAGTAAATGGTAACTAGTACATGTATTTGTCAGTCACATTATGTTTTCAACATTCAGTTAGTCTGCAAATTTTCCATCCTTGATATCTCAAATAGTGCAAATTTACAGCATCTATTTTTAGACAATTCTTGCTAAAAAAAAAAAAAGAATTGTGAGCCTACCTTCAATAATACATATATGTATGTGGATATTTTTTATTTTACCTCATATACTAAGACGTATCATAGTTTTTATTTTTTGTGCTATAAATAGAAATGGGAATCCCCTTGAAACATTTTGCATTTCAGTCATTGATTTCTAGTACTTGTTAGTCACATTATGTTTATTATAGAGAGTATTCAAATTTTCAATCCATAATGTCTCAAATAGTGCAAGAATGTATATTTTCTAAATAACTCACTGCATCTATTTTTAGACAACTGTTGCTATAAAAAGAAAAGAGAGTCCATCTTCTATATTTTTGTAAATATTAATTGCTCAAATGTTCTTGTTCATGACATATTGTAGAAAGTAGTATATTTTGTAAATACTTTTTTCAATGAAGCTTACAACTGGTGGAAATTGTCATTTTTCCTCATATGCTGAGATGTTTCTATTTATGGGTGTCTGGTGCTATAAATAGAAAAGGGAACCCTTCAGATAGTGTGTATTTCAGTAAATGGTTTCCAGTTCTTGTCAGTCACACTATGTTTTTAACAATTAGTCTGCATTTTTTCCATCCGACATTACCTGAGAAAGTGCAAGAATCTACATTTTCTCGATTATTCGAGGAATCTCTTTTTAGACCATTGTTCTATAATAGGAAACAAGAGTCCACCCTCAATATTGTATCAATTATTGTACAAACACTTGTTCTTTATGAAGGCATATTGTAGAGAGCTTTATATTTGTTAATACTTTTTCTATGAAGCTTCCAATTAGCATAAAACTGTCATTTTTCCTAATATTCAGAGACATATCTATATTTAGGTGCTTGATACTATAAATAAAAATAGGAATACCCCTCAACCATTGTCCACTCTAGCTAGGGGTGTCCAGCTGCCGTCATTAATATCTTAAATTTTACAATATACGTCCTATTTATCCAGCAATGACATCTAAAACTTTGCCAAAATTTGATTCTTTACATTTTTCTAGAATCTATCTATTTATAGATACATGTTACTAAAAATAGGATTAAAAACCCACCGATATTTTTTCATGATATGACACTACTAATTGTCAAGTATAAAAACACACATAAGTTTTGGAAATTTTCCACGGACAATTTTTCCTTTTTAGACTTAAAGATCCCCAAAAATACTAAATTTTTCATTTTTCAAATTTTCAGAAACCATATCAGTTTGCATGACTTAGAGTGGGAATATTTTTAGAATAAATGATTATATGTCCTGTGTACCTTAAAAGTTCATGTTATCATATGATCCAATGATTTTTGTTAGAGTGTAGTAGATAGCGATAAATATTCGTTTACATTTCCTCAAATTTCATGCTTTCACTTGGTCAAAAAGGGCCAAAAATGGCCAAATTCAATGGATCCGTCTCCATGGCAACCGCTGTGGAACTTCCGATATCATATTTGCTAGTTTTGTACCAAGACACACCTGTGGTACAAATTTCATCAAAATCCGAGACATGTCGTTTCTAAGATTTTTTGGTGCTTACAGAGAATGCGTGTTAAGTCGTTTTGGAGGAGTTTCCAGGACAAGCCGACTCTCTAAAAATCAGAAAATCCTAAATATCTCGAGATGGAAAGTGACATCATCAACGAAAAAAATTTCCAATAAGGTTCAGATCAATACCTATCAGATCTGAAAGTTTCATGAAAATCGACCCAGACGTTACCGAGAACTTGCGTGCACAAAATCGGTAATAATAATAATAATAACTAGACTCTTGTTGCCATGGCAACAAAAAAGTCTTCCGTTCTTCTAAATCTGTAAGAATTTGCTTTTTTTCTGTTTAAAAAACATACATATCATATTTACTGTGAAAGAAAAAAGTAACTGGAAAAAAGTCCTTTCAGTACTTAAGGTACTTTGATTTTCATGATCAATCTTGTATACTGCGTTTGGCACCTATAAGAGATATACGTATATCATAGAGCAAGGATAATTAGCAATTAAAAAAAAAATGTTTGCAATCATTTCTAAGACAAACAAACAGACGAACAAACACCGCACTATCATAAACTTCTCTGTGTATACGTTCTGGCATAATTGTGATGGTGTTATAAAAAAATATAATGAATTAAGTTAGTATCACATTAAACGTAGAGTCACTGTGTTTTGTAAAGTTATAATATCAAGATTTGACAGCATACCTGTAAGAAAGATTATTCAGTTACAGTTAT